GTGGAAACTTGTCAAAAGTTCGTTAAAAATTTTGAGATTCGTCGGGTCTCCCTTTCTATCCGTGTAATTCCATGAAACATCAGTAGGATCGTTTTCTCAAGTACCGATTTGGAAAGTAGAGATTTCAAGCTGTAAAATGCTTTTTTGAACATCTCGATACGATCATTTTTGACGAAGTTACATTCTCTTGAATTTTGCCTATTTTTGGAGGGTAGAGTAAGTGATGCTTTAATTTTGTTGAGAAGTGTATTAACGTATGTTATTGTACACGTATATTTTTAATGTATATATTACTTTAATTATTATTAAAGTTATGTACTATTATTATTATAGTACTATACCTCATTTTAATATAATAATATACATAAATTTATCTTTATAGTATCAATAAATTTGTAACGGTATTTCGTTCGCCGGAGGAGCTCGTCGGGAAGCCAGGGGTCGGGGAGACGAGTAATCGTGAATGCCGTAATTGGTGTATAAGTGAATGTGTTTATTTAGCATAAAAGAACTGTATACAGTGAGAGTGCGCGGATCCGCGTAATTGGTCGGTTCGTAAGTACGCGTAGCACGCGGCGCTTCGGGCGCAGGCGGCGCCGAGAGTATTTTAAGAACGCGCGTCGGCGGGTACCGCGGGCCACGTGGGCGGACGGTGTCGCGGGTGCAGGACCGGCGTGGACCGGGAGTGCCCGCGTCCGCGGCGAGTCGAGCCTAGGACCGAGAGTACCCGAGTCCGTAGTGCAGTGCGGGAGGATCGAGAGTGCCCGAGTCCTTTATAATGCGGGGGACCGAGAATGCCCGTATCCCAGTAGCCTGTCAAGTTCGCAGCGGCCGGCGAGATCCGAGAGATCCCGAGATCTGGACGGTCGGTTGCGGACGGGACCTGTGGCTGTTCTCTCTTCGGAACGCTCGCGGCCGGCTTATATACTCGGCTGTCACGTGTCGGTCGCGTGTGCAGGCTCCCCACCTCCGATGGCGTGATGGGGTCGGATTCCCGTTATCGCTCGGTCACCCGCCGGAGATGCCCGAGCGATGGGAGGCCGGTTCGCGCACGTGGGAGCGGAGTGTGTTTCGTTACATCTCCCCGGTCGTTCGTAGTGCCGAATTTGGGTACTTCTACACCTTCTCTCGTCGGAAGACGCAGTTTCCGGAGCGGTCGAATCGGAGCACAAAAATCGGAGCGGCGGTTTCCTACCCGGGCTTTATACTTGCGTGGGATGTGTGCCGCAAAGTATGGTACCTCCACTGTGGTGTTTTCATCTAGTGTTACGAGTACCGGGGGCGGGGGGGCGGGGCCGTAAATTCGTGTTTCCGACTCCGGTGGTTCTGCTTCCGGGCGTTGTGGTTCCAGCGGCGGGAGTGGTGTTGCTGTGGTGGTGGCTGTTCCCCTAACTTTGGTTGTCCGGTTGTTGTTGCCATCGATTTGTTGTGGGATCCCTCCGGGTCTTTCGTCATCTTCTATATCTGATAGGCTGCCAAACAGCTTGTGTAGGCGGATTTGCACCATGTTTGGTTGCGTATTCTTGATTGTTGCGGCTGGCTGCTCGATTTTTTGTTTGTCGAGCTCCCAAGTAACCGGTTGGAAGTGTGGTCGCCCCTTGTTAATCGGCCGGCGAGGTGCTGGTGGTGGCACTTGCATCAGCATCCGTATTTTTCGTGCATTGCTGTGGTCTGAGCGTTGAACGACCGTGCCTACCCGGGGCACGGGCTTGGTGCGGATGTGATCGGTCGTGGTGGTCCTTCGACATTCGACGTGGGTCGCTGGTGTCGCCGGTGTTGCGGTTCCTCCTCTGGTTGCCGGGTCCCGTAGGTCCAGCTTGACGTGTGCTGCGATGGGCAGCGCTTCCCTTGGAGTTTTGCGGGCCGGTGTCCGGAGAAGCCGTTCCCATAATTCTTCAAATTCTTGGTCTCCGGCGGTATCGGCGGTGGTGGCAAGGATGGCGTCAAGTTCAGCTTCCATGGCAGGTGCAGACTTTCTGTCCTGAGTGGCGTGCTCCTTGCCTTTAAGAACCCTTTTTTTTGGTTGCGTGAGGGTTGCTTCCCCCTCCCCCCACGCCTGGTCGGTATTTGATGACGCTTATTCGCTGTCGCTGTCGGTTACGTCCGATTGGTCGGTAGCGTCGGGCCTGGGGTGTGGGGCCGGCTTAAGGTCCTGCACGTGTACGTGGCGGTACCATTTTCTTTGCTTGTCCCGGAGATCTACTACGACAGGTGACAATATTTTCTTGATCTCGAGTGGACCCGCGTATTTGGGGGTCAACTTGGCGTTAAACGCGTCCTTTTTATTTGATAATGAGTGTAGTCGTTTCCAGACCCATTCGCCCGGGGTGGGTCGCCATGCCCGGCGGCGCAGGTTATAATGTTTTTGTTGTCGGTCAAAGGCGCGTGCTAGGTTGGTTCGGACCACGTCGTATGCGGCCTCGAGTTGGCGGTGGGTGGTTTCAGAGAGTGCTGGCGTTTGCTGTGAACGGCGGTCCTCGGGGTGGGGGCTGCGGAGTTCTCGACCGTGGTTCAAATAGGCGGGGGTGTATCCGGTTGCTTCGTGCTGCGCGGTATTAAACGCGTATTGAAGCGCATGTATTTGGGCGTCCCAATCGCGGTAGTTCCGGCCGACGAATTGGCTAATCATGGTTTTGACGGTCCTGTTTGTGCGTTCCACCGGGTTACAGTGGGGCGCGTTGGTGGGTGTGGTGCGCTGCTTGATCCCGAATGTGTGTAGTAAGCGTTTGCTTGGACACAAATTGTGTTCCGTTGTCTGAGATCACTACTTCCGGGCATCCGTGTTGGTAGATGATGCGTTCCATCAGTTCTCGTACGATTGCTGGGGCGGTAGCTCGTCGTAGCGGGCTCACCTTTATCCACTTCGTGAAACGGTCTTGCATGACTAAGAGCCACGTGTTACCGTTTTTGGACCGAGGTAATGGCCCTACCAAGTCAATTGTAATTTGCTCCCATGGCCTCTTAACGGGCAGTGTATGCAGTAGGCCGGCGGGGCGTCTCTGGCTGGTTTTGTGGGCGAGGCAGTTGGGGCATGAGCGTACGTAACGGGCAATGTCCGCAAACATGCCCGGCCAATAGTAGAGTTGGCATACGCGTGCTATTGTTTTGGCCACCCCCAGGTGGCCGGCGGTTGGTTCGTCGTGCATGCGTTTTAAGATTCGTGTTCGCTCTTCTCGAGGTACGCACTCCTTCCACTGGTCGTCGGTCGGTGTTTCTCGGAGATCGGTAGAGTGCAGTAGGTGCCGGAAGAAGCGGCCTCCTCGGACCGTGTACTCAGGAAACTTTTCAGGTCGCTCCTGGACCCGGTGTAGCTGGCGTTGGTACCAGGGACATTTTTGTACTGCGCACATAATTGGGCGGCGAGATAGGGCGTCCGCCACGCGGTTTAATTTTCCCTGGCGGTACTGGATATTGAATTTACATTGTTGTAGTTCGAGTGCCCATCGACCCAACCGGCCGGTGGGGGCATCTAGCTGTTGTAGCCACCGGAGGGCCTGGTGGTCGGTCACCACGGTAAATTCGTAGCCCTCCAGGTAGCCTCGGAAGTGGCGGATGCCCCAAACGACCGCCAAGCACTCGAGCTCGGTCGCGCTGTAGCGGTACGCTTACATTACATTGGCCCGCGCGCGCCCGCCACGTGATGAGAGTGGTGCGCGGCGTCGCCGCTAGGCGCCGCAGGCGCCACGACAAATCTCGTAATGAAGAATCGCCCACGCCCGCTATGTATGACTCCGTGGGAGGTCCTCAGCTTGTTCCTCGCTTCAGAATAACGCGAGCTTACCTCGTAGGCCGTTATCCTGAAGCATTTTGAGATACCTGTACCCTTGGACAGAGCGAGCTCGGCTCTTTGAGATTGAAAGAAAGCGGGAGTCCCGGCCTTTCGATCCAAATTTTCCGCCAGGCCTCTGCCTTCTTTCCACTGCCCACCCGGGCGAAATTCGACTGCCGTTGGAAGGACGACCACCACCATTGCGCGGGCAAGGAAACGGGGACCGGACCGTCCCCCAGCCGCAAGGGCGCCCGTCGCTCGACACCGGAGCCCTCCTCCGTCGGCCCCCGAGATCTGCGAAAAACGACGTTTGGATCCGGGGCTGTCGTACCTGCCGTGGGGGCTGATTCTGGTGGACCTGCCAGACGAGAGGGTGACAAAGTGGAGATTGGCGGACCCACGACCTCGGCCGGTCACCACTCAAGTCTCGCGCTCCACGCAGACGAGCGTCGGCTGCGCCCAATCTCGTTCCTCGCCGGCGCCTCTGAGCCCGCTGCCAACAACGCCGCAGAAGCCACGAACGCCA